TCTGCAGTGAGCTGCAGGCCAGGTGCATTGTTCTGCAGTGAGCTGCAGGCCAGGTGTGTAGGCAGAGACTGCTTGTTCATTTCTGGGCTACCCAGACCCAAATAATCACACAGAAACTATATTAATTGCAGCACTGTTGACCTATTAACTCAGGCTTCTTATTAATTGGCTCTTACATCTTAAATTAATCTATTTCTATTCATTTGTATATTGTCACAAGACTGGCTTACCCGGTAAGGTTCTTTTCTGGCCTCTTTCTCCTTCAGCAGCTACATGGCTTCTCTTTGACTCCACCTACTCTTGCTATATCTCTGTTCAGATTTCCTGCCTGGCTTTACTCTGCTAAGCCATTGGCTGAACCAACTTTATTCATTCATCAATAAAAGCAGCACATATACAGAAGGATATCCCATGTCTCAGGTGCACTGCTTCTACAGTGAGCTGCGGGCCAGGTGCACTGCTCTGCTTTTGTGCATTTGTTGGTTGTTATTTGAAACAGGGTTCCTGTGCACAGTGAACATGTAGTACCCATGGAGGCCTTGAACTCACAATCCTGCTGCTTCTGCCTCCAGGTGCTGGGGTTATAGGCATGCCATCACACCTAGTTTAAACAGGACATTTCTAATGTAATTCAGTCAGTTTTATTTGTAGGTATGGAGAGATGGCTCAGGAGTTAAGAGCACTGGATGTTCTTCCAGAGCACCCAGCACCCACATGGCAGTTTACAGTTTCCTGTAACTGCAGTTCCAGGGGTTCTGATACCTTTGTTCCAGTGCAATTAAATACATTAAAAATAAACTTCTATTTGCTTTTGGATGTTCTTCCTATTACTAGTAATAGTATTCCTATTACTAGTAATTGGCCAGAGAGATGGCTCAGTAGTTAAGAACACTGATTGCTCTTCCTGAAGACTCAGGTTCATTTCCCAGTACCTGTCTACAGGGTGACTAGCAACCATCTATAACTCTGGTTCCAGGTCCGATTCCCTCTTCTGGCTTCCGTGGGTACTACATGTTCATTGTGCACAAACAATGTAGGCAAAACACCCATACACAGAGTAAAAGTAAATAAATCTTAATTTTGTTGGTTGGTTGGTTTTTTGGAGACAGGATTTCTCATTGTAGCCCTGGTTGTCCTGGACTTGACTTTGTAGACCAAGCTGGCCTTGAACTCATGTAGATCTCCCTGGCTTTGCCCCCCAAATAGTAGCACTAAAGGTTTGGGCTACCATACCTGGCATCAAAACAAATTTTAACTTTAGGTTAGGCTTCAAATTTATCTTTAAGTACTCATCTATGAATATTAGCTGGTATAAAATACTCTAGAAGAATGTAAATATAAGACTTAGCTATAACCTTGATTTAATAAAATATAATTAAATTTGAAAATAAATCAATCAAAAAATAAGTGATATATCATTAAGCATAACCTATCTGAAAATATGTTCAGATCAATAAGTATATAAATATAGGCATAGAAAAATTTTAAATTGTGTGTGTGTGTGTGTGTGTGTGTGTGTGTGTGTGTGTGTGTGAACCTAGAATGAAATACTTCATTGTTTCTAATACCAGTCCTGTCTCTTCCGGAGTCAGACTTGGTAATATGTAAAGTAACACTGTTGTCTCTAAAGGCTTATCGTTGTCTGTCCTCTGCACATCTCCTAGCACATCTGCTTCCATTGTAGCTTTGCAACATTGCATGACAGAACTGGGGATTTTGGATGAGTTGGGAACAAAACTGAATGGTAGCTTTGAAAATGGTCCTTACAAAATATGTCACCAGTCTGAATGAGTTCGGGTCCTTTTTATGCAAGTTTTTCTTCTAGGATTCATTGTGAACCACTTTCTGTAATTGAAATGTTATTAGGTTTGTAAATATATTTGGCTAGCCAGGCATGATGGCTCATGTCTACAGTTCAAATGCGGGGAAAACTGAGAAAGGAGAATTTCTCTGAGGTTAGCCAGCGCGATGCTGAGTCCCTGACCAACTTGGACTATAAAAGGAGATCCTAGCTCAGAAAACAAAAATAAAATATTTTTAGCTAATGCTTTTTAAAAGTAATGTGTAAGATGCCAGGCAGTTTGGCACATGCCTTTAATCCCAGCACTCGGGAGGCAGAGGCAGGAGGATCTCTGTGAGTTTGAGGCCAGTCTGATATACAAAGAGATTTCCAGTATAGCCAGGTCTATATGGAGGAAACCCTGTCTCAAAAAGAAAGACACTTGAAAGAAAATTGGTATTTAAATTTGGCAGTGAGCCTAGCTTTTAATGGCTGAACTATCTCTCCAGCCCCAAAATTAGCATTTTAGTTCTAATTCCAGTTAGAACTTTTCAAGAAAAATGCACGTTAAATTCAGTTGTATGGAATAGTAACATAGAGTTATGAGTTTACTTCTCTTCTGATGGGTTTGAAAATTAAAAAAAAAAGTTTGGTACCCATTATTAAAAATTATAAGTAGCACCTGAGAACTAAGGGGTTTAGTGTTTAAAAATTGTTAGGATTTCGGCCATGTTGTGGTGCCTCTAACACTTGGGAGGCAGAGCCAGGCAGAACAGCGAGTTTCAGGACTACCAGGGCTAAGAGAACTAACCCTGTCTTGAACCCCCCTCCCAACTGTTATGATCACATTTGTTTATTACCTTGTGTGTACATGTGATCTGAGAACAAATTCTGGAAATCAGTTCTCTCCTTCTAGTGTGGGTTCCAGGGATGGAACTCAGGTGTCATGTCAGAGCTGGTAGATAGTAACTTTATCCATTGAGCTGTTTCACCAGTTCCAAGGCTTAGTGTTTCCTATGGTGGCCTGGAAGCTAAAACATATAGGTGTTTTTTCAGTGTGCTGTAAAGAAAACTGCCAACTAGAGATTAATGGAAGAAAGTAGGGCAAATTGAAAAGACTGAGTAAATGTCATAATTAGTGGTAGAAATAAATAAATAGGCCAGGGAATGGTGGCACCCAGAATCCTAGATTTGGGAGGCAGAAACAAGAGGATCAAGGGTTTCTGGTTATCTGGGCTACATAGAGAATTCAAGGATGGCTTGGACCCATATCACAGTGAAACTCTGACTCAAAAAAATCAGGAACAGACAATAAAAGGGATAAATAAACTTAAGAATTTAATTATTTGACCATATATGTCTGTTTCATTTCTGTTGCTGCTATAAAGGACCTGGAAACAACTTAGGAGAAAGGGTTTATTTCAGCTCCCAGTTCCTGGTGACTTGTCCAGGGCAGCAGGAGCTTGAAGCTGCTGCCACATCACAGCCTAGTGTGAGAGAAATTGAGTGTTTGGAGATTGTGCTCAGCCTGCTTTCCTAGTTCCTGTAGTTCAGGATTCCTTATGTAGGGAATAGTGCCGCCAACAGTGGGTAGGTCTTCATCCTTTAATTAATATAGTCGATCTCCAGCAGGAGTGTCCATAGACCCATCCAAGACTCATTGAGACTTCCTTAGTAATTCTAGATGATTAGGACTAAATATTTATTATTTGTATTTGATACTGTTTTAGATATCGTCAGATTCTGGAAAAAGCCATTCAGTTGTCTGGGACAGAACAACTAGAAGCTTTGAAAGCGTTTGTGGAAGCGAGTGAGTAGAATGGACTGTCCTGCCGCCCTGTGTTGTGAGTGGTTCTCCAGAGCTTCGTCAGCCTGCTCTGCACAATCAGTAGTAAATGTGCTTAGAGAGTGTCTTACTCCAGACTTTAACCACTTACAGTGGGTTATTTTTCAAATGAATTGTCTTCAAAATTGAAATCCCAATTAAGGTTCTGTATAGGTGTTCTGTGCTTTCCCTTTGTACAAAAATAAAGAGGAAAAAGGAAAAGTAAAATTTTCAAGAAGTAAATTTTCCTCAGTTTTTTTTCCGTTTCTTAGAAAAGTTACTGTGTTTTTTTTCCTGCCTTCTTGTAGTAGATATATAATCAGTAAAATCCAGCATAAAGAAACTAATTATGTTGCATGAGATGTTAAATCTCTGAGTAATATATTGAAAACTGCCCTTTGTGGAGTTTTGGTTTTGGTTTTTCAAGACAGGATTTCTCTAGCTTTGGAGCCTGTCCTGGCACTAGCTCTTGTAGACCAGGCTGGCCTTGAACTCACAGAGAACCACCTGTCTCTGCTTCCCAAGTGCTGGGATTAAGGGCATGCGCCACTACCACCTGGCTGCTCATGGAGTTTTTAAATGGTAATTTTAAGTAAAATTTAATTGCTTAATGGAAACTTAATGTTCATGTTTTATATTTCTCATCTTATTTTTTAACAAGTGGTGAATGAGAACGTCAGTCTTGTGATCTCACGGCAACTGCTGACAGATTTCTGCACACACCTCCCTAACCTGCCAGATAGCACAGCAAAGGAGATCTATCATTTCACCTTGGAGAAGATCCAGCCTCGAGTCATTTCCTTTGAGGAACAGGTAAAAGTCTAGACTTGTAGATTTTGTTGTTGTTGTTTTGTTTTAAAGTTCTTAATTCCCAGTAATTTTTTTTGAAAAACAAATTTATACAATATATTTGGATTATGTTTTCTCCTTCCCCAATTGTTCCCAGATGCACCCCACTTTCCTACCCACCCAACTTTATGTTCTTTTTGTCTTAAAACAAAACAAAATGTAAAAGCCTCCAAGAAACAAACAAAAAACCTTTAAAGCCACAGAAACAAAATTCAAAACAAACAAGCAAAAAATCAATAAGACAAAAAAATGCCAGGTGCTGGAGAGATGGCTCAGCAGTTAAGAGCTAACTGTTCTTCCAGAGGGTGTGGGTTCAATTCTCAGCGTCCAAATGACAGCTCAACAACTGTCTGTAACTCCAGGATCCAACACCCTTACATAGACCCACATGCAGGCAAAACACCAAATGCACATAAAATAAAAATAAACTAAATGCTCCAAAAAAAGCAAAATGAAACAGAAACTCCACAGACATACCACTGAGTGGGGAATGGGGCCTGATAGATCCAGAGAGATTGGTTTTTCCCTTTGCCACAGGGCATTAGTGTAGGACCATGTGTCTGCTCCACCTCTCGGTGCTGGCTGTCCTGTCTGGCTTGAACCTGTGAGGCTGTGCCAGTGCCTCAGTCTCTGTGACTTCGTATATGCACCAGACATGTTGGCTTAGAACAGCAGATTTTTGATCTTAAGATAATAGGTTATTTTTATGATCTGATTAACTCCTTAACGGAGATAATTCCTCAGTTTCATATTTTATATAAAACTGTCAAACAGCATTTACAATGTAAAATCAAATTATTAGGATATTGCAGCTCCCACTGGAGCATTAGTAAAAAGGTCTTTGTTTAGTTTTCTCTATTATGTGGTGTGTAAGCATGTGCTGCTGGGCACAGTCGGGGTCAGAGGGCAGCTCTGCAGAGTTAGTTCTGTTCTTTGGCCTGCATGTGCATTCTGGGGATTGAACTCAGATTACAGACTTTAGTTGCATTGTTCCTTGAATAATCTTAGTAGCCCTAGTAAGATTATTTATAGGTCAAGATTAAAAACAGAGAAACTCCAGTATCATGTATGCAGCAACACAAAAGCAAAATTTAATACTGGAAACAAAATGTTGCCAAAAATACACATTATAGAAATGTGTAGTTTCAGTTCAGTGTTTTGATATTCTGTGAATGCAAGCCTTATAGAAAAATGTGATGATTTACATAAACCTGTGAATTTCTTACCAGTTTAATCCATTGGTGAGAGCACTGTTAAAGTAACATCTATATCTGTCATTCTAGGTTGCTTCCATAAGACAGCATCTTGCATCTATTTATGAGAAAGAAGAAGATTGGAGGAATGCAGCCCAAGTGTTGGTGGGGATTCCTCTGGAAACAGGACAAAAGTACAGTAAATAGTGGATTTGGATAGACATGTATAAGTGCTCACTAACACTCTTTTCTACTCCTACTGTAGAGGATACGATATGTGTTGCATGGTAGATGGTAGTAAGTGCTTCTCAGAGAGTGACTGTGAGCTCTCTGAGGGCAGAGGGTAACAAGTTACCTTGTGTTGTTGACATAGTGATCTTAAGATATCAGCATACTTGTAGTGTTTTCTTAATAAGAATGCCAGCGTGGGTAGAATAAACTTGGAGAAAGACAAGAGAATGAAGTCAGTACTAGGGATCAGATCCGAGGGGTTCTTGAAGCCCTTGTAAGGACTTTGATTGAAAGAAAAATGAGAGGGACAGGCATGGTAGCTCACACCTTTTTAACCCTGCACTCAAGAGGCATAGGCAGGCAGATCTCTGTGAGTTTGAGGCCATCTTGGTCTACTCAGTGAGTTACAAGGCTAGCCAGGGCTTCATTGTAAGACCCTTTCTCCAAAAATAAATAAATAAATAAATAAATAAATAAATAAATAAAATAGAATAGAATAAAGGAAAAAAAATAAAAGAAACAAAAGGAAAGAAAGAAAAGAAATGACATGACATGAGAGTGAGCCATTGGATGATTTTGAGCCGAAAAGTAACATAATTTGACATATGACCTACTGACTACTGGGTGGAGAATAAACCATTGGCAGCGGTAGTAGAAGTAGCACTGTTAATTAGGAAGCTTATGCGTGACCATAGCTGAGGAGGAGGTCCTAAGAAGTGCTGTGGTTTGGAGGTTCCTGTGGCTTTGCTTCATTTCCCATGTGGAGTATACAAAACAGTCAAGTCCTGATTTTTTTAACCTGAGCAGTTGGAAATATGGAGTTGCCATGCGCTGTAGGGAGTATACTTTAAGGAGATTTCAAGTGTACATTTTGCATTGTGATAATCAGGTTAAGATTACAGCTAGTAGTGAGTTGAATATTTTAGTCTGGAGGTAGTAGAGCATGCTTGGTTACAAGTAGATGTTTGGGAGCCATTGCCTACTGGTCTGGTTTGATGCCTTTCCAAGGGAGGGAGAGGAAGGGTGAGTATTGAGGCCTGGAGCACTCCCACCGCAGGAGACAGTTGGCTGGAGGGCATTGCAGCAAGTGGGAAGGATTGTCTGTTGAGGGAAGAGCACCAGAGTAGAGTGTGCTCCTCCCTAGAAGCCATATGAGGGAAGGAGCAGGATTCAGACACATGCTGCTGTTGAGTGGACTGACTGGTGACTGGTGGTCAGCACTCGGCAGGTATGGGGTGACCCCAGGTATTGTGAAACCTACGAGAGCTGGAGTCTGGTTGGAAAAGTGAATGGAGACGGCTCTTTGGTAGGCTTTTCAACCAGACAGTAATTCGTGTAGGAGACCACAGTGAAAGTTAGAGTTTTATGTTATGAGTCATTGGAAAGCAAAGATTTGATATTAACTCCAGGAATGGTGGCACACACCTTTAATCCCAGCACTCCAGATGCAGAGGCAAGTGGGTCTCTCTGAGTTCCAGGCCAGCCTGGTCTACAGAGCAGGTTCCAGGACAGCCAGGGAGGATACACAGAGAGACCTTGTCTCTAAAAACAAAGATATTGAGGAATTGGCAAAGGATTCTCGCAGCAGTGTATAAAAATAAGGGAATTTAGTAGGAGGGGACATTTTGTCTAGGGCCTGGCCTGGGAAAGGTTGGCAACGTCTGGCTCTTTGTTGGGGCATCGACACTGCCATGCCTCTTTGTAACAGTCAGAAATGCCAGCTGTCCGCTGGTAGGCAGACGTGCCCCAGGGATGTGAGGAACACACAACACGCAGGCTGTGTGCTCTGGTGATAGGGTGGAGCTCGTGCAAGGACTCTGATGGCTTCTCTCAGGAAGCCGGATGTAACAGGTGGGAGCTGGGAGGGAGAGAGGACAGGAATATAACTGGATAAATGGGAGCTGCTTTCTTTAAGGAGTTACTCAGTCTGACTTCTAAAGTAGTGAATAGATCACCTGATAAAAAATTGAAAAATTCAAGAAGCTTTATGTGTTATAGAAATTCATATAAATTTGAGTTGTGAGTGGGAAAACAAACTATTGATAATAAATAAGCCAAACAAACAATTTTAATTCATAGACATCCTTCCCATGATCCTCCCCCACAAAAAACAAGCCAAGTAAAGAATTAATTTCAGAGGGGAGCCAAGTGAATTCTAAGTTTTTTTTTCCTTGTCACAAGGTATTACTGCTTCTTTGGCTGCAAATAGAAAAGATTACTTTTCTATGAGAATCTTGAATTATGAGTTTTGAGTTATGTGAGGTTTCCAGTTCTTCATTCCTGGAATAGAATATAAGCAATGAAGAAGGAAGAAACTGAAAGTCTTTTCTTCGCACTACTCTAAGTGAGATTACATGTTGTTGTATGAAAGTGTATTTCATATTTTAATGATGTTTAATATACTATTGAATTCCGCAGTTTGTATTTTTGACATAGGGTCTTGCTATATAGCCTTTCCTTGGTATGTAGACCAGGCTGGCCTGGAACTCACAGAGCTCTGCCTGCCTCTGCTTCCTTAGTGCTGGGGTGGAAGGTATGCATCACCACGGCCAGCCATAGCCCACTTTTTAACTTAAAAAAAAAATAGATGGTGTCTGTAAGCATCTATTGATTATCATTACATTTTCTACATTTTTACACACCACACTTCATTCCTTTAAATACTATACAGGGATTTCCATTTTTTCCTAATGTAAGTAATTATAAGTAACTTTACAAATTAGTTTCCTTGTAATAAATACTTAGGCACATCCCTTATTGTCTTTTTAGGATTTGGTATCTGGAAGTAAAGTATAGTGGATTAAGGACATATAAATTGAAAGAGTTCAAAGGATAATTGAGGAACTAATTGCTAGATTGTTCTCTAGGCAGGCTGAGCCTGGATATAGTTCCACTAATGGTATCTGATAAGCTGAAACTTGGCACTTGTGTCTTTGTGATCTTCGTGTTATGAGATACCTGAGGATCAGAAGCAGCTGTAATATGACCAATGAGAATATTTAAAAAGATCAGGGAATCTTAGCTTTTTTCTATAACATAATATAATAAGAATTTTATTATTTGTTAAAATTTTTCTTGACAAAATGCTGAATCTGTTTGTTTGTTTTATTTATCCTAGACAATACAATGTAGACTACAAGTTGGAGACTTACCTGAAGATTGCTAGACTGTATCTGGAGGATGATGATCCTGTTCAGGCTGAGGCTTACATAAATCGAGCATCCCTGCTTCAGAACGAATCCACGAATGAACAGTTACAAATACATTATAAGGTAACAAATGAGTAATTTGGAATTTTGTATCGATGAATTATATACCAAAATGTTTCATAACATCTGTTGATGTTTATATGTTTCTTTGTGTGTCCTGGCTGGTTTTGTGTCAACTTGACACAAGCTAGAGTCATCAGAGAGGAAGGAGCCGCAGCTGAGGAAATGCCCCATGAGATCCAGCTTTAAGACATTTTTTCAATTAGTGATCAGTGGAGAAGGACCCAGCCCATGGTGGGTGGTGCCATCCCTAGGCTGGTGGTCCTGGGTTCTATAAGAAATCAGGCTGAGCAAGCCATGAGGAAGTATGTCAGTAAGCAGCACCCTCCATGGCCTCTTCATCAGCTCCTGCCTCCAGGTCCCTGCCCTGTTTAGTTCCTGTTATGACTTCCTACAGTGATGAATGTTGATGTGGAAGTGGAAGCCAAATAAACCCTTTCCTCCCCAGCTTGTTTTTTTTGGTCATGGTGTTTTGTTACAGCAGTAGAAACCCTAACTATGATATTTTGTCTTTCCAGTTTACCCTAATTGGAGTGTTTTCCCTGTGCAGGTATGTTATGCACGTGTCCTTGATTACAGAAGAAAATTTATTGAAGCTGCCCAAAGGTACAATGAACTCTCTTACAAGACAATAGTCCATGAAAGTGAAAGACTAGAGGCCTTGAAGCATGCTTTGCACTGCACCATCTTAGCATCAGCAGGTAAGCTGCGATTGGTGCTTATGTGGCCAGGTTTGTACTCTGTGCAGTAACGAGGTAACTGTTGGAATAATTAACAAGGGACTATCTTCTGGGGGGGTGTCTTTGTACAATTAAGGAATTTAAACATGTAAACAAAAATAAAAATAAAATGATTTATCTTAAAAAATTCAAAGTGAATGTAATCAGCCTGTTATCCACGTGCTAAGAATAGTTAAGAGGTAACAGTTTATTCCTAAAATTTCACTGAAGAAAAAAAATGGTTCCTAAATTAAATGAGAACTACAGAGGAGGAAACAGATTAAATTCTAGAGATTGGGTGAGGTGACTCCTCCATTAGATAGAGGTGCTCGTTGCCTGATGACCACATGTTGGAAGGAGAGAATGTTGTCCTCTGATCTGCACTGGTGCACCATGGCATGTGTCCTCACTCCGTGTCCACAAAATAAATAAGTGTGATACATTCTTTAAAAGGATCTAAAGTGTTCTACTTTTCACTTTTTTCAACCTTTGAGCTTCAGTTTTAGACCTAGCAATCTCTGCTTTCCTCGGTACATACAAGACTTTTACTAAATTCTATATAAATTTAGTACAGCTTTTAAACAGAAAAGACCATTGTGAATGTTAATTCTAAGCCATGGCTTTTCTAATCATTCTGAAATCTTCCAAGGACTAATAAGTTGAGAGCCTATCACATATTGAGAACTACCATTTAATATCTTCTTTTGTTTTGACACAAGGTCTTTTTTATTTAGTTCTAGATAGCCTAAAACTCCCTATAAAGACCAGGCTAGCCTCGAACTCACAAACATCCACCTGCTTCTGCCTCCAGAGTACTAGGATTAAGGGTTAAGCCACTACTTACTTTTTCTTGCAACTAAGTGTCAGTGATTATTATATATTAGTATATAGATTCCCCATGATTTTCTGTTGTACTTTATCATCCAGACATATCCAAACTGTGGCCCATAGGCTGTATGCAGCCAAGGATAGCTGCGACTATGATCCAACATGGAGTAATAAACTCACCTAAAATATGAGGATTTCTTTTTGTTTGTTTGAAACTTAATTCCGTGGTTCTCCAGTGTGAACTTTGTAGTTGATAACATCATTTCACAGTGTCAGAAAGTTGAACGCACCTGTATGCAGCAGTGATTGTGCGCAGGGGACAGTTTATGGCTAGGTTAAGCTCCTAAGTTCGAAGGTACATATTTTAGCCTTTTGTCGAAAGTGTGCATTGTGCCAAATAACACACTACAAACAGGTGTTCATGAGTACCTGACTGTCAACAGGTATTAACAGTTGTTTTCACTATTTGCCCATCTAGTAGATGAAAAATGATTACAATTTGGCATTAATGCATATTTTATTTATAATGAATGTTAACCATCTTCTCACGTGTATTTATGAAGCCATTGTTGAGCTGGGCAGTGGTGGAGCCTGCCTGTAATCCCAGCACTCAGGAGACAGAGGCAAGTGGAGCTCTTTGAATTCAAGGCCAACCTGGTCTACATAGTTCCTAGGACAGCAAGAAAAAGTCATTGTTGGTAACCTTGCATTCTCTCTTGTTCTCTTTTTTAAATTTTGAGACAGGGTTTCTCTGGGTAGCCCTGGCTGTCTTATAACTCACTTTGTAAACCAGGCTGGCCTTGTTTGTCAGGGATCTATCTGTCTGATCAAAGGTGTATACCAGCACACCCAGCTCTCTCCATGTGCATTGGCCTTTTTAAAACAAAACAAAACAAAATAAAATTCTTAACATGAAAGAAAATTGATAGTTTTTCCCCCAGTTTATTGCCTGTATTGGACTTCGTAGAACTTTGCCATGTATAAAGTTCATTATTATTTGTATGTATGTGTGTGTCCATACAGAGAGAGAGACACACTGCCTCATACCTACTAATCTCATCACAGAATTACTCTGCAATTGTCCTGCAGTTGTCAAAAGTCTAGATTAGTAGAGCACAGCTAGATTGTTCTAGGTACTCCTTACTCTTGCAGTCATGGTTTGGCGGCCATTTTAGATGAAATGCGTGAAGAAAACTTAGGTTAACGGGTACATTGTCTAATAGGGAGGCACATTTTAATGACTTTCTAAAGAAATTGTGGGTATTCTCTTCTGATAGTATATCTAACCTGGTAAGTGCTGTAATTTCATTGCTGTGTAGAATCTGAATAGTACCAGTGAGCTTTTGTCCGGCTTTGTTAAATTTTGGTCTGCCTTGTACTTTCTCTCTCTCTCTTTTTTTTTTTTGTTTGTTTCCTTTGTTTTGAGGAAGCGTCTCCCTACTTATACCAGGGACTTTAAGCTTGCCCCTATCCTCTGGCTCCTGAGTGTGGAGATTGCAGTCATGAGCTCGCCCAGCTTTTTTGTCTCGTACTTTGAAAGCGTAGATCCTGGCAGAATTTTCTACCATCATTTACTAGATTTGTAAAATACTGGCTGTCTGAATTATATAAAACTTCCCAATATGACACACTTTAGTGAACATTACAAAAATTAAATTTTAATATATTATTATTGGTCTTATCAGAAAAACTTTCAACTATAATAATGTATCAAGCTCATAGAAACTAGGGGGCAGAAGACATGGCTCAGCGGTTAAGAGCATTGCCTGCTCTTCACAAAGTCCTTAGTTCAATACCCAGCAACCACATGGTGGCTCACAACCATCTGTAATGAGGTCTGGTGCTCTCTTCTGGCCTACAGGCATACACACAGAATATTGTATACATAATAAATAAATAAATTTAAAAAAAAAGAAACAAGGATAGGTTTTAAACTGCAATTGGAAACTCAAATTTTCAGATACCACTGCTTGTTGTATTATAGTTATAGGTTCTCTTTGCTCATTTTTGCTTTGGGAAGTATTTTGTGGTGCTGGGATTCAGCCTAGGGCCTTGCACATGGTAGGCAAGTGCCCTTACTGTATTCCTCCCCGCCACACTCCCTACCCATAGTCCTATATATTCATTTTAAAAAAGTGCCAAGGTCTAGCAAGGTGGCCCCAAACTACAAGCCTATGACTAAGTTCAATTCCCACCTAGTGGAAGGAACCAACTCATGATGTTTACCCTTTGACCTTCACATTTATGTGCTGTGTCATAAACTAGCTAGGACAACACCAGGATTTAGCACTGGATTACCCACTGCTGCTAGGTGTCCTTGTGGCCCGCTCTTATTCTGTAAGCCTAGAGCTATACTTTAAAGGAAAGGAGTTGTTGACAGGACTATTTCTGTTCACTTGGTGTTTTAGTCCTCAGTCATATAAAGGTTCTTAAATGTGTAAATTGAAACTGTGTATTGTTTCTTAGAGAAGTGTTTGTTGTTGCTGTTGTTTCTGACAAGATTTTAGTGTTCAGCTTGGCTGGCCTAGAATTTGCTGTGTAGTTCTTATTGGTTCTGGGATTACAGAAGGGTGTTCCATGCTGGGCATTTACATTTTTTTAATTAGCTAAATAATGTATGTTTGTTATATAAATATAAATATGCAAGAAAAAATAGAAGTCACCTGGGCTTACAACCCCATGGAACACTTAGATCTCTGTCCTGGTCTATTATGTGAATATTCAGTCATCCTCATTTATCTGTGGCTTTTTGTTAGTGAACATATCTATTTATTAAAATTTATTTTTAACCCAAACTCTCAGCTTTATTTTTTCAAAAGAAAAAATCATTTCCAGATATGTGCAGAGTAAGTAGCAAAATCTGAGTTGTCCAATTCCTGTTTCCAGCTGACAGTGATCTTACAGCGCACAGCGTTTTTATAGCTCAGCTTCTAAACTGTAAGCAGGCGGCTTCTTGTGGACTGCTTGGCATTTTGATCTCTGTGGTTTTGTGCCCTTTAGTCATCACTAAATTTTGCTATTTAAAATGGTCCCCTAACATACTGCTGGATGTTCTCGAGTGTTTGTGTGTGTGTGTGTGTGTGTGTGTGTGTGTGTGTGTGTGCGCATGTAAGTGTAAGTGTGGGTGGGAACTAGAGGTGACCTGACGCCTGGAAATCTTACCTCAGCCTCCCGAAGGTTGGGACTACAGGCATGTACTACCATGTCCTCTAGTGCTCATAGATGTATCCAGCAGTCTGAAGTGAAGATTTGTGTGACAAAATAGTGCTGTGTAAACATCATTTTGGCAGAGTTACAGTGTCAGCTCTGAGTTCAAGGCTGATGAGTTAACTATCAGTATATGTTAAGTAAGATTCAAAGCAGAAACATTTGAAACAAAGTTGCAAATTGATTAAGGTTGACAAAAAATTGAGTAGGGACTTGGAAGACTCCAGTTCTGTATATACCGTAGACACTGCAGCTAAGCATTAACTAAGTGGAGTGATGCCTTTCTAGAACACTCCATATATAGTATACATATATATTAATGGTATATTAATGGGAATTGCATTTTAGTGGGCAAAAATGGGATCATAGAATGTGATTTTTTTTTTGTCATTGAAGAAACAGAGTATTTGACACACCTGTGTTTCCTCTAGGACAGCAGCGTTCTCGGATGCTGGCTACTCTTTTTAAGGATGAACGGTGCCAACAACTTGCTGCATATGGAATCCTAGAGAAAATGTACCTAGATAGAATCATCAGAGGGAACCAGCTTCAAGAATTTGCTGCAATGCTGATGCCTCACCAAAAAGCAACTACAGCTGATGGTAATGATCACAGTTTGTGTGTGTGTGGTGGTGAATGTTAGGTGTAGACTAGAAGGTGCGTTAGATTAGTATTGTCAAGTAATGCTGCTTGATAAGTAAGAGGACTGCTGACAATGGTGACTGTGGAACACGGACAGGTTTGTGGTGTATTCTGAAACAGTCCCTGGTAGAAAGCATTTTGTAAAATAATGCTTTTTCTGTTCTTTTGTTTTTAATTTTGAAACATGTGAAAACTGAAAAATTATAGAAAATACGTATGGCACCTGGATTTTAAAAATCTTAAGCCACTGGTAAATAACATTAAGTAAAAGATTGTAATAGAGCATAATTATGTATTCTTGGTTAAGGGCAAAATTTAGCTCAGTGCTTGCCTAAGGTCCATCAGAATTTGCTAATCAGAATAGATTTCTTTTTGTAGTTTTTGGTTAAATGATGTGTTTGCTTAAATCAGAATATTTTTGCCAGGAAATTTTTAAAAAATATTTTCTTCATAAAATAATTTTTTGTATGTTTGTCTACAGATGTTTTAAAGTACTTGCTATAGTTACCATGATAGTAAACATGTAGATGTAAACATGGAGAAACATGCAAATATATTTCAGCTGAAATAGTTTCAGCTTGCCTGTCAGCTAGATCCGCTGCCCTGGACTCACCGTTGCCTTGAACCAAAGAGAAATGAGTTGTGAGGGCCATTTATACTGGGGCTAGCTGAAAGGTGACATTGATTCGGTCTGGACTACTGGGAACTGAGCCCGATGAGTGACCTATTGCATTACTCTATAAGCACTCGGGTAGTTCCCATCGTTCTACCTAAAAGATGTCTCTTTTAATGCATTTTTAAAGGATTTTATTTATTTATTTTTTTTAATGTATATATGTGTATCCACCAGGTGCGTGGAGGTGCCCTGGGGACAGTGTTGGATCAGCTAGTGTTAGAAGCCGTTGTGATCCACCCAGTGTGACTGCTGGAAAACTCAGGTCCTTGACATGCTGAGTTATATCTCTAGCCCCAAGATTTTCTTTTTCGTGGGGTTTTCTCCATGTGAAATCTCAGGGGATAGGTATCTTTATGGTTGTAGGGTTATTTCTGGTTCTTTTGAGCAGTTAGGTTTTATCTTAAACACATTATGAATGGATAAATTGATTCTCTTATTTTGCTTGGCTTCTAGAAATATTAAAATTAAATTTGTAACCCAAATATGAGTAATATATATGTGATTTAATTGAAATTATTCCTCCTCTTTTGTTTTTAACTTTTGATTTTTAACCCTCTCTATATTCTCAGAAGCCATGATTTTTTTTTTGTTGTTTTTGTTTTGTTTTGTTTTGTTTTGTTTTTGAGACAGAGTTTCTCTGTGTAGCTTTGGAGCCTGTCCTAGAACTAGTTCTTGTAGACCAGGCTGGTCTCGAACTCACAGAGATCTGCCTGCCGCTGCCTCCTGAGTTCTGAGATTAAAGGTGTGCGCTGCCACCTACACCTGGCCATGATTTCTTTTTTAAAAATGTCTGTTGTAGGGAGGGGCCTGCTTGTTTGGCCCAGTTGCCCTGCTAGCTTAGCCCGAAATAACCACACAGAAATTGTATTAATTGGCCCATTAGTTCTAGCCTCTTATTGGCTAACTCTCACATCTTTATTTAACCCATTTCTAATAATCTGTATATCTTCACGTGGCAGTGGCTTACCGGGAAAGATTCAGCATGTCTGACTCTGGTGGCTCCATGGTGGCTCTCTCTCACTCCGCTTTCTTCCTCCCAGCATTCAGTTCTGTTTTCTCTGCCGGTAACCTAAGTTCTGGCCTATCAGGCCAAGGCATTTTCTTTATTCATTAGCCAATACAAGCAACAATAGAAAAAAGGACCTCCTACACCAAATTTCTGATACATAAATTAATTAAAAGCTAAGTAGAAAGTTTCCAGAAATAATACAGTTGATCTTTGGATTTGAATTTGAGCTTTGTGGTCATAAAAGTAGAATAATATTGTCTTAGGGTTTCTATTGCTGTGAAGTGGCACCATGACCACGGCAACACTTATAAAGTAAAGCATTTACTGGGGGCTGCTTACAGTTCAGAGGTTGAGTCCATTATCATGTATGCAGACTTGGTGCTAGAGAAGGAGCTGAGAATTCTCCATCTTGATCCACAGGCAGCAGAAGGAGACTGTCACCCTGGGCATGACTTAAGCATATATGAGATCTCAAAGCCTGATGTCACAGTGACACACTTCCTCCTAATAGTGCCATTCCCTATGGGTCGGGCATTTAGACACATGAGTCTATGGGACCATTCCTATTCAAACCCCCATAGTGTATTCATAGTATACTGAAGAGCAGTGACTCTTGGGTCTGTGCAGGAAAGAAGATGCTTGTCTGCGCCTTCCTGTCTGAGCCGCCCCTATTGCCTTGCATGGACATTTCCATTTATTCTAACTCCAGCGTCATGTAGTATTACTACCAGTGTAGTCTTTGCCCTATAGATTTGTCAGTTCTGGACATTTCATATTAATGGAATCATAATATTATTATGACCTTTCATAATTGGGTTCTCTTATTTATTGTAATGGCTCATCTATACTATTAGTATTTCATTCCTTTTTATTGGCAAATAATACTCTATTATGTGAATGTGCCATTTTACTTATTTGTGGGTTGATGAACAGGAAGATTGTTTCTGCTTTGCAGCTATTGTATTCAAGGTGTGTGTGTGTGCATGCGCAAGCGTGTGCAATTCTCCTTTCCCACTGCCTGTCCCTTCTCTTTCTTTTGGAATTGGTTTCATGGCTGAGGCCAGGGCTCAGGCCAGGGCTTTCCAAGGTGCTAAATTCCCTAACTTTAAAAGGGGTTCTGTCCCTGAACTCTGGGGAAAAGTAGCCGGTCTTACTTTCACTATTTGCAACATAGTGAGATGCCTATGGATGACCAAAAGAATGAGATGAGAGCTGGAAAGATGCCTCAGCAGTTAAAAAGGATGCACTGAAGCTGGGCATTGGTGGCGCATACCTTTAATCCCGGGGGGGGCAGAGGCAGGCAGATCTCTATGAGTTCGAGGCCAGCCTGTTCTACAAGAACTAGTTCCAGGATAGGCTTCAAAGCTACTGAGAAGTCCTGTCTCGAGAAACCAACCAACCAACCAACCGACCAAACAAACAAACAAAAAAAGAGGATGCATTGTTCTTCCTGGGAGCTGTAGTAGTTCCCAGCACCCACATCTCACACTGCCCCTTAATTCAGCCACAGAGAATATGATGCCCCTGAATATACATAATTAAAGATAAAAATAAACATTAGAAAATTAAGATGAGGGGTTTTAAGAGTCTCTCAGAGCACGTTGCATGATTGTTTTGCTACTGTTTGCTAATAAGTGTGCTTGAGGCAGGAAAGGGAAAGGTGATGGAACCCCAGTGCAACGGGCTGAATTGATTCTTGGTAATTATCCACCAACTGCTCGCTGTACTATTACTTCCCTTGACATAACACCTAACAGAAGCAGCTGAAGACAGGAGGGGTTTACTCTGACTCAGTGTGGGACTACAGACCGCCATAGTGTGCAAGGCATGAGGGCAGGCGTGGGAGGTGGCTGGTCACATTGTGTCTACAGTAAAGATGCAGAGAGAACACACAGGTGCTCCTGCTGACTTCCCCTTTTCATTCAGTCCAGGACCCCAGCCCGGGGGTCCTTAACTCTTCAGTTAAACCTATCTGGAAACACTCTTACAGACACAGCCAGAGATGTGTTTCCATATGTGATTGTGTGATTGGCTGTTGAAGATTAGCCATCACACTGATTTTCTAAGTACTGTAATTTATTGTATATAAACTAAAATGGCAAGTGTTCCCTGGCATATTGGTGCTTGCCGTTAATCTTAGCATTTGGGAGGCAGAGGCAGGCAGATCTCTGAGTTTGAAACTATCCTGGTCTACAGAGTGAGTTCCCGGATAGCGAGGGTTACACAGAAACCCTGTCATGAAAAACTATAAAAATAATGATAATAATATTTTATCCAATGTAAGGTTTAGTAATATATTGTTCAGAGGAGTAACACTGATTTTAGTGATTTTTATTACATGCCTAGAAATAAAAAAATAAAAGTATATCTTTTTAAAATATAAAACTAGTGTCAAACACTTAATGAGTTTATGTTTTTTATTTAAGGTTCCAGTATCTTGGACAGAGCTGTTATTGAGCATAATTTGTTGTCAGCAAGCAAATTATATAACAATATCACCTTTGAAGAACTTGGAGCTCTTTTAGAGATCCCTGCAGCTAAGGTATTTTATTAGTTCAATACTTTATAACAGGGAATTGAAACTCAAAACTATTGAAGTAATGGAAAAATACATAATTGATAATGCTCACCAGCACAGCAGAAGCTACATGTTTAAAGCCTCAGGTAAGTGCAAGAGACTGCTTAAGTGCTGAAGTCATGTTGTCATGAAGCTTAGTGGTTTCAGCTTTCAGACTGTGTTTTATGATAGTTACTTAGAACGGAAATCTCAGAGAAGTCCCAAGTTATACTCTTTCTATAAGGATATCTTTGTTTGGTGTCTGCAGTTTCTGAAGTGTTAGATGGAGATTGGTGCATCCTTGTTTCTCTTCCCTGGATTGATTTTTGACCCCAAGATGTTCTATTTTCTGAATTTGACTTAATTTGAAGAGTTGACTGACCTACTAGGGAATCTTACTTCATTTTTTAGATTTGGTTGGTCATACACAAATTCCTGCACAGTGCTAATTGTATTTACAGTGTTACTGTTTATGAAATACCATCTTAATTTCAAATAATACTGAGAGTAAAGTCATGCAGTTTATCTGATTGTGAAATTTTGATTTCTTTTTTCTTTTTCTTTTGAGATAGGATCTCATGCAGCCTAGACTGGTCTCAAACTCAGTAGGAGGCTGAAGCTAAGGATGACCTTAGACTCTGGATCCTCCTGCCTCTACCTCCTAAGTACTAAGATTACAGGTGTGTGTATATCAGACTTCATTTAGGATTTTCTAAGAATTCTTTGCATGTGCACGTTTAGTAAAGTAGATTGATGTGAGAACTGAGACGACAGTTGCCATTTAAAAGATGTTTTCTTAGCCAAGAATGGTAGCTCACACCTATAATCTCAGCACTTTAGAGACTGAGGTAACAGATGGCTGCAGTACTAGACAAACAAAGATGCTTTCTTCTCAGGGTTGGTGGTATAGTTGCTTGTGGAGACTCAGGAAAGTGAATGCATTGTTAGTAATAGATTATAATCCGTCAGTATGATGATGTAGTATTGATCGTGAGGATGTCAGTGTAAAAGATGAACAAATCGGGACCTGAAGAGACGGCACAGCAGTTAAGAGCACTAGCTTATCCTGCAGAGGACCTGGGTTTGATTCCCAGGACCTATACAGTGCTCACAAGCATCTGTAACTCCAGTTCCAGGGTCCTGTCCTGGCTTCCTGCGGCTGGCATGCATGTGGTGCACAGACATTCTTGCAGGCAAGAAAACCATACACCTTGAAACAAAATGACCGGTCACAATCTAATTTGCTCATGTGTACTAAACATTAACTGTAGCAGTAGGAGTTGGATTTAGAATGTTTTGCTTTTGCCCCTCTAATTATCTTTTAAAATTTTCTTCATTTCCTTTTTGAATATGGACATCTGTTTCTTTGGTTCTTGGGCTTTTTAAAAAATAGTATTTTCTTCGGTTAGGGGCCGGGTTTGGGACATCTTGATCAGAGGACTCAGGAGGATAGAGCAAGAAGGCAGCTTTTCCTGGCCACATAGGGAGACGTGGTCTCAGAAACTAAACAACAAAATGTACACTGAAATTGATATAGGAAAAACAAGTTTTTGTGTTCCCCCAGAATTGAAGGCAATGTTGTTACTATTTATACATTTACTCTAAGATATTTAGTTATTTTATGTGTATGATTTTTAAAAAATTTATTATTTTATTTATATATGTGTGTCTGTCCATGTGAGAGTATATTCTGTGTGTGTGTTTGTGTGTGCCCAAGAAAGCCAGAAGAGGATTTCAGATATCCTGGAGTTAGAGTTTTTTTTTTTTTAAATAAATCTTTTTAAAAATATTTATTTATTTATTATGTATACAATTTTTGTCTGTGTGTATGCCTACAGGTCAGAAGAGAGCACCAGACCCCATTCCAGATGGTTGTGAGCCACCGTGTGGTTGCTGGGAATTGAACTCAGGACCTTTGGAAGAGCAGGCAATGCTCTTAACCTCTGAGCCATCTCTCCAGCCCACTGGAGTTAGAATTATAGTCAATTGTGAGCTACCTAAAGTGAATGCTGGGAACCAAACTCAGGTTCTCTGTAAGAGGAGTGTACACTCTTTACCGTTGAGCCCTCTCCCCAGCCCCAGGTGTGTGAGTGTTTACCTGCATGTGTATCTCTGCACCACATGTGTGCTGGTGCTTGTAGACACCAGAAGAGGGTGTTGGGTCCCCCAGGACTGGAGTTATGGACTGTTGTGAACTGCCATGTGCTCTGGGGAGGCAGCCAGTGCTCTCAGCCACTCGGTTCATGTGCGGCATTGTAGGGCAGCCAGTGGGCAAAGGCAGCAGCAGAGCTATGCACCTGCAGTTTTTAAATTTTTTTTAAGATTTGAATCTCAGTGTAATTTTGAGACTGATTTTGTATTCTGTGCGTAGAGTGTCTGCTTAGCCTACACAAGGCTCTGGAGTTAGTCCTCACCTGCAAAACTGGACTGATGTACACTCCTGGAATCCTAGCACTTGGTAGTGGAGGCAGGAGGATCAGAAGTTCAAGTTCTTCCTCAGCTGCATAACAACTTGAAGTCAGCCTGGGACTTGAGACTCTTTATCCAAAAAAAGAAAAAGAAGAAAATAAAATTGGTTATTTTGATTTTAAGTAGAGGAAAAAGTTGGTAAAAATGGCTAGATTCTTGCCCAACAAAAGTCTGGCGAGTCTATATTCTCACCACTTGAGAGGCCAGAGGATCTGGAGTTCTAGTCAGCCAGGCTATACAGTGAGACCTTGTTTCCAAAAGAGACAACTCCGAGCAAAGTGAAATAGGACCCTTGTAACTTAAGCAGTGCGGTAAGAAACTAGAAATACATGTTCCTCAGCAAATGACAGGGAAGGCTTTCACTTGATCATATGTGAATGGTTGTTAAATATGATAAACTGAGAGATTATTTTGTTTTTGTTTTCAATAGGCAGAAAAGATAGCATCTCAAATGATAACAGAAGGACGTATGAATGGATTTATTGACCAGATTGATGGGATAGTTCATTTTGAAAGTAAGAGGTTTTATGCATTCTCATCATAATGAACTGTTGTATGTTTATGATTAAGATATGTTGAATTGTTTCTTTTGACCCAGAATTATATTACTTATGAGTGTATTTCCAGCAGAAATAATTTAAAATAGTTTTAAAGGTTATATTTATGAATATATTTATCTCAGTGTTTCTAAGCTAAGAAAAAGATGAACTGAAATTGTTATCAGTGTAGTCAGTCACCTGACCTTTGTTGAACTCAAACCATGGGTAGGGCACATGGAATGACAGTTGCATTTCCTGTTCAGAAGCTCTGAGAACTAATGTAGGCAGGCAGGTAAGTGGACGGCCCAACTTCCCACGGTCTGATGGGTGTTGTTGGCTGTGCTCCCTCCCAGTGGAGCGTTCGTTTCTGGTACTGCACTCTGTACACTCTCCTGACCCAGGAGAGCATGCTGTGCCGACTTCTCTTTCCTTCCAGCCAGTGCTGTCCTTTCTGCCTTCTCTCTGCTTAGATTAGATCCTGCAATCCCCTTGTTCAGTTCTAGTTTCCATAGTTCTCTAGAAAAACTTGCCTGTTGACCTTTCTTTTTTAAAAATTACTTTTATTTTTGAGATATAGTTATAACATCCCCCCTTTTGTTCCCCCCCCCCCCCCAAACCCTTTCATATTCCGCTCTTTGTTTTCTCAAGTTCATGGCTTCTTTTCTTTAATTGTTGTGATATGTATATGGAAATGCAGACATGTATATATTCCTAAATATAATGTGCTCAGTCTGTATAATGTTACTTGTATGTGTGTTCAGGGCTTGGACGACCAATGGGCGTACTCTTCCCTGGGGGACTGGTCCTCTGGCTCTCAGCAGCCCTCAGTTGACCTGGGAACACCATTAGAACTTAACCAACCTTTCAATCCAGCTGTCCAGAGAAGCCCTCCTTATCTTTCATGTTGTCATTTAAGCTAGTCAGTGTTGCTGGTGGAGAGGCAGGGACCAGACAGACACCACTGAAAATGGAGGAAGTGTTTAAGCCTCGCCCACCCATCACTACTCATCAAGAAGTGGTGTAGAAGCCTGAAGTTAACCCTTTGTTTCAGCCTTTAACCTTCTGCTGACTTCATTCCATTGTATTTAGACACCCAGGCCTTCCCTGTAGACAAGGCACTTTTGTCTTTCAGGCCTTTTCTTAAGTAGAGTGTCTGTAACCCCAAAGCCCACACTGACCTGAAGTTCACTGTGTAGCCCAGGCTGGCCTCAGGCTTGTGGAGCTCCTCCCAGCTCAGCTTCCTGAGTGCAAGGGTCACAGGTGTGTGCTGTTGTGCCTGCTTGGGCTTTTTCTCAACTTTTGAGTAAGGCGAATGTTATTGATCACGTGTCCCTTTGAGACAGCAGCACCACCATTGCCACCCTGACACTGTCCGCTCTTCTGCCCTGCTCTGCTCTCACGGTCCCTCCTGTGCGTTCCGTTGTTCTCTGCAGTCATTCTCTGTCGACGCCTTTAGATTTAAACATCAGTTACTCATGGCTAACCCCAGGCCTTTGCCCGCTGACAGCACTGGGTCTTTGTGAAAATGACTGGATTTAACTTGGACCAGTCTCTCCTCATTCTCAACCCCATGGCTCTAGTTCACTCTTAAGGTGTCTGTACCAGATTGCCTAACATGCCTTTAGAATGAACACATGTCCAAATGTAGCTGGCCACTTAAAAGCTGCATGTTCACTTTTTCTTTAATTTCTTAGTTTTAATTCCCTCATCTTCCCTGCCCTATAAATTATAACTCCGGATGCTGTTGGGAATCCATGTATTTTTCTTTATTTTTAAAAATTAAAACGTAGCTGTTCATGGTGGTGCACGCCTTTAATCCCAGCACTTGGAAGGCAGAGACAGGCAGATCTCTTTGAATTTGAGGCCAGCCTGGTCTACAAAGTGAGCTCCCAGACAGCCAAGGTTACACAGAGAAACCCTGTCTCTTTAGGGCTGGAGAGATGGCTCAGAGGTTAAGAGCATTGCCCGCTCTTCCAAAGGTCCTGAGTTCAATTCCTGGCAGCCACATGGTGGCTCACAACCATCTGTAATGAGGTCTGGTGTCCTCTTCTGGTCTGCAGACAGAATATTGTATACATAATAAGTAAATAAAAACAAATATTAAAAAAAGGCATTGAAAAAATTAGAGTGTATTTTATTATTGTTGTTAGTGTGTGAGTGTAGGTGTCCACACAGCTTGGAACACCCATGAAGGTCAGAGGACAATTTCCGTTGGTCCATCCTTCTGTCCTTCCTTCATCCCTGGCTATGCTGGAACTCGCTCTGTGGACGAGGCTGGCCCCAAATGCATAGATCTGCCTGCCTCTGCCTCCCGATTGCTGGGATTAAAGTGTGTGCCACTATACCCAGCTTTATTATTATTTTAAGATAGGGTCTCTATCTTGGAACTATGTTTATCAGGTGGGCCTTGAACTTAAACTCATGCCAGCTTTTTAGCATTATTTTTATATGTATGGGTGTTTTTTTTGTTGTTTTTTTTTTTGTTTTGTTTTGTGTTGTTCTTTTTAAACCCGCATGTATATATGCCAGAGGAGGTTGCTGATCCCATGGAACTGGAGTTGGGAAGCACCATGTGAGTTCTGGAAGAGCAACCTCTTAACAGCAGAGCCATCTCCAGCCCCCAACCTTTAAAATGCTGTTTTAAATGAGACTTCTTCCTGGATCTCATTTCTGACTATATATTACTCTTTTTTTTTTTAAAAAACTTGTAGATTCAAGATAGTGTTTTGAGTAGATTTTACTTTTATGTTCCTTTTCCCTGTGTTTTAGGTGAGGGAGGCACATTCTTGTATGTAAACCCAGTGCTCTCCAGTAGGTGGCGGCATCTCCCACCTGTAAACTCTGGTGAGCCCTTCGGTGATGCTCTGGGCTGTTTTGTGGCTGCCGTCCTCTTGATGAGTATTCAGTAGGGGAGTTTGTTCTCAAGGGCATTGATAATGACATATTTGTTCTTATTATGTTTTATATTTGTTGTTAGTGATTTTTGTTTTGTTTTTTGAGACAGTGTCACTTTGTAGACCAGGCCAGCCTTAAACTCAAGGAGTTCCTACCTTCTGCCTTCTGAGTGCTGGGGTTAAAAATGTGCCACCATGCTCGACCTGATTTGAATTCTTAACTATTGCATAATTAATATTTTTGGAATAAACTTTTTTTAAAATTAGAACTGTTGTAATTTATCTTTTAACTTGGATTTGTAAGTAATTGCTATTTTTATTTCCATTGTTATCTGTTTTTAGCACGAGAAGCCCTGCCAACGTGGGACAAACAGATCCAATCTCTTTGTTTCCAAGTAAACAACCTTCTGGAGAAGATCAGTCAGACAGCCCCGGAGTGGACGGCTCAGGCCATGGAGGCCCAGATGGCCCAGTGAGGCCTTGTGGAGCTCTGTGCACGCCGCCTCGCTGCCACTGTGCGGGTGACTCCCCTGCCCCCCAAAGCATTCGCATCATGACCTTCATGTTTCAGTCCTTTTATGCTGGATCCCATTTAAAAACGATGCTAGAGCAGGAAGGTCAGCACTTAAACATAGTAGTTCCCATACGCTCTGGGTCTGTGTATTAAACCAACTCAGATATTTTGAAAACTTGTTCTCTAAACAGAAGTGAAAGCGGCGTGATGAAGAAGTTTGGAATTTGTGATCTTTGTAGTCATGTAAAACTTAAGTGCTTTGTGCCTCTCCAAATGTGGCTATTCTAATAAACGAAGCAATGAACCAAATAAAGGTGGTACTTTGTTTTTATAGTTGAAAAGTGTTTTATTCCTTTTCCTTGAGTTTAGAAAGTGTTAGCTTAAATCTTACGCCACAAGTACAATAATAAGTTATGTATAGCTCCTGCCCCAAGTCTCCTGAGTCACGAAGCCAAGGGAGTAAGGCGAGTGCTTGGAGCTGCACACGGGAGGAGCTGGGGTCATGTCAGCTGGAGAAGGCAGACAGGCTTTAAAAGGGTACGGATCATGACTGGAGGTTTCTCATCCCACCTTGTTCCACAGCTGCTTTTAGAATAACCACCTAGAGGCTTAATATTAATTACAAACTATTTGGTCTGTTAGCTTAAACTTATCATTAACTAACTCTTACAGTTTAACTCATTTCAGTTCGTCTGTATTTTACCATGAACCACGCGACTCGTTACCTCATATCTTGCTTCTGCGGCTGTTGCTAGCGTCTCCCAGATTCCACCTTCTTTCTCCCTCAATTCAGTTTGACTTTCCTGCCTAGCTATATTTTACCCTGCCATAAGCCAAAGCAGCCCATATTTATAGCATACAGAAGGGCATCCCACATCTGTACATGAATTCTTATTTAACCCCAACAATTAAAGACCTTAAAGGCAACCCACCACTTACAGCATTTAGAACAAAACCCATCCAGGTCGTTAGAAATCAGTGTCTTATTGAAGTACTCTCTGCTTTGAAACATCCCGGGGAACAACAGTAGTTTACTTTGAAATAATACCCAAATTCATTTTCCGTAAGACACACTTGACCATTAAGGGAAGTTACTTTGCAGGGCTTTGTTTGACCTAGAAAACTGATGCACAAGTCCACCCTCTTTAAATCTTCTGTTTCCTGCAATTGTAGAAACAAATATTTCTGCAGGTCAAGTCCCAGAGACCCAGGCGTGAGGCCAGAAAGATGGCTTGGCCAGGAAAAGCAATTGCCATGCAAGCCTGCTGACCTGAGTCCAACCCCTGGAGCCCACATGGAAAGATGATGATGTACTTCTCTGGCCCAAACACTATGAGGAGAGGGGAGACTTTGCCCAAATCTGAAAAGTCAACTGGCCTGGGGTATGCAGTGTAACACCCCACGGGAGACCCTGCAGCATAGGGTAGAAGTCAAGAACCAACTCATAAGTTTTGTCTTCTGGGGCTGGAGATATGACTCAATGGTTAAGAGTACTTACTGGGAGCTCTTTCAGAGGACCCAGGTTCAAATCCCGGCACCTTCCTGGTGATTCACAACCATCTGTAACTCCAGTTATGGGAATTCCATCTCCCTCTTCAGGCCTCTGAAGGTACCAGATGTGAAAGTGAGGCACAGATATGCATGCAAAACACCCATACACATAAAAAACTCTAAACACTGTAAAATTGTCTTCCACATGTGAATCGTGGCACATGTGTGACCCTGTTCCCACATATATCATACATAATTAAACAGACATAGAGTACTTCCATATCATCAAGGATCCATTGAATTCTGACGAGAGTGCAAGGCATACAGACCAAGAGAAGGAATTTGGAGGGATCCTTTTCAAAAACACAAGGAGGAAGACGAGGAAACAGCAGCCTCTTCCGGTCACAGCTGTAGGGAATAGTCGGTTCAGTTCCTGCTCAGATGGGCATGAAACCTTAGCAACAGCCTGGCACCTCATGCATAATGTCTGACTTTCAGCGAAAATATTAGCAAAGTCGCTAAAAGACACGAGCCACTGTAAAAGACATGGCAGGCATCAGAACAAGACTGATATATAATGAAGGGGTGTTGGAATTACCAGACTAGAAATTGATAGCAATCATGATTAACCTGCTAAGGGCTCTCATAGAAAAAGTTGACAACACATGAATGGAGGGTATGTAAACAGGTTGAAACTAAGGATTGAAGTGCAAGAAATAAACACAGAGAAGGAAATGAATACCCACGCAAGAAATAAACACAGAGAAGGAAAAGAATACCCACTGTTGAGCTCATCATTAGGCTAGAGATGGCCGAAAGAAAAAGAGCCCAAAGCCGTAGAAAGTGAAGCCACCCGTAGTAAAAAAGCTTCCCAAACTCAAGTGTAAAGGGGCAAAGTGGAACTAGGATATCTAAGAACGGTGGGGAAATTATGAAAGTTCACATGAAAAGACAAAACCAGAAGAAGAAAGGAGGAGAATATTCGAAACAATGCCTAACAATGTTCCAAAGCAATGCGGGAAGTTCAGAAACGTAAGTAACGTAGGTGTGGAAACATTCCTGTCTCAGCACTTGGGAGCCTGGCGTGGGAGGGTTTTGAGTTTGCCTCAAAAAATAAAACAACAGAAGCATCAAGTGGGCGTTGTGGGGATAGCTCAGTGGTAAAGCCATGCATACCATGCATGCGGCCTGGGTTTACTCTTCAGTTCCAAAACAAATGTAGAAAAAAGTCAGAAAATAGTCCAATGTGGTGGCTGACACTTTTAACACGGCACTACAGAGGCAGTAGGTCTCAGCAAATTTGAGGTCAGTCAGAACTACATCAAAAGACGCTGTCTCAAACAAATAAACAAACAAAACAACTCGATTACAAACTAGGGAAAGTATTAGCTGTTTTCAGCACTGGTATATATCACATTTGAATTACAGCAACCAAAGACAAATGTTGAAAAAGACAAAACACCTCACCTGTAGAGGAAACAATAAGAACCTTGTGAGCTTTCTTTTCAGAAACCATTCAAGAACAGAGCAGAAATATTTAAGATATTAAAAATCTAGCATATATTTTTACACAAAGAAACTATACTTTAAAAATGAAGAGAAAGACTGTCGTAGTCAAGACTTTTTTTTTTGCAGGGGAGTAGGGGCAGGGGATCTGTCATATCAGAAATATCCAAAGAAATTCTTCTAAGAGAAATAAAAAGACATGGTATGGGTTTAAAAAAGCAATTCAAATCCTCAGATCTACACAAAAAAGGAAGGAGATCAGAAAGCGCAGTGTTTGCTGAACAAGTTACATGGGCACATGCCTGAAACCCCAACACTAGGAAAATTGAGGCAGGAGGATCAAAAGTCTGGAGCCAGCTTTTTAGACCTTACGCCAAAAACACGCATTTTAAAAAAAAAATGACACTGGGGCTGGAACTCAATGGAACTCTTGACTCGCTTGTTCAAAGCCCTGGGTTCGATTCTCACCACCACATAAACATGGGGTACAGGAGTGACACACTTCTGTAACTCCTATAGTTGGAAGCCTTAAGGTCAGAGTTCAAGGTCATCCTCAGCTGCTTAGTGAGGAGGCCAGCTAGGCTACATGAAAACCAGTAGCAAAAAGTGATCTTTTCCCTAAAATGTTCACGTAGGGCAGAGATACCTATCAGATCAAGTAGTGAGTCAGATGCAACAGCAGAAATATAACCGCCACTACAGCCAAGTGGCGTTAACCCAGGTGTGCGTGGCTAGGATCGGTGGATGCAGAAAAGCAACTGATATACTCTAACTCATTCATGGGTAAAAGTCAGGAAGAGAGGTGGACCACCTCCAGCTGGTAACAGATGCTGATAACAAATAAATAGCTGATTGCATATTTAATAGCAAGAGGCTATACGTCTTCACATATGACTGGAAACTAGGCAAACATATCTTTTTAAAAATTTTTTCCACTGGTTTTATTGAGCTGTACGTTTTTCTCTGCTCCCCCTCCCTTCCACCCTCCTCCCCTTCAACCTTCTCCAATGATCCCCATGCTCCCAATTTACTCAGGAGATCTTGTCTTTCTCTACTTCCCAGGTATATTAGATCCATATATGTCTCTCTTAGGGTCCTCATTGTTGTCTAGGTTCTCTGGGATTGTGAATTGTAGGCTGGTTTCCTTTTCTTTATGTTTTAAAACCACTTATGAGTGAGTACGTATGATATTTGTCTTTCTGGGTCTGGGTTATCTCACTCAATATGATGTTTTCTTGATCCATCCATTTGCCTGAAAATTTCAAGATACCATTTTTTTCTGTTGTGTAGTTCTCCATTGTGTAAATGTACCACATTTTCCTTATCCATTCTTCAGTCAAAGGGCATTTAGATTGTTTCCATGTTCTGACTGTGATAAACAAAGCTGCTATGAACAAAGCTGAGCACAAGTCCTTGTGGCACGATTGAGCATCCTTTGGTTATATACCCAAAGGTGGTATTATTGGGTCTTGAGGAAGGTTGTTTCCTAATTTTCTGAGAACTCATCACACTGACATCCAAAGGGGCTGTACCAGCTTGCATTCCCACCAGCAATGCAGAAGTGTTCCCTTTTCCCCACAATCTCTCCACCATAAGTTGTCATCAGTGATTTTGATCTTGGCCATTTTTACAGGTGTAAGATGGAATCTCAGAGTTGTTTTGATTTGCATTTCTTTGATGACTAAGGATGTTGAACATTTACTTAAGTGTCTTTCAGCCGTTTTAGATTCCTCTGTTAAGAGTTCTCTGTTTAGGTCTGTACTCAAGTTTTTTATTGGATTATTTGTTCTTATGATGACCAATTTCTTGAGTTCTTTGTGTATTTTGGAGATCAGTCCTCTGTCCGATGTGGGGTTGGTGAAGATCTTTTCCTTTTCTGTAGGCTGCCATTTTGTCTTGTTGACCATGCTCTTTGCTTTACAGAAAATTTTCAGTTTCAGGAGGTCCCATTTATTAATTGTTTTTCTTGGTGTCTGTGCTACTACAGTTGTATTTAGGAAGTGGTCTCCTGTGCCAATGTGGTCAAGGATAATTCCCACTTTCTCTTCTACGAGGTTTAATGTGGTTGGCTTGATGTTGAGGTCTTTGATCCATTTGGACATGAGTTTTGTGCATGGTGATAGATATGAATCTATTTTCATTCTTCTACATATTAATATTCAGTTATGCCAGCACCATTGGTAAATATGCTTTCTTTCTTTCCATTTGATTTTTTTTTTGCTTCTTTGTCAAAAATCAGGTGTTCATAGGTGTGTGGATTGATATCTGGGTCTTCTATTCAGTTCCATTGGTCCTCCTGTCTTTTCTTATGCCAGTACCAGTCTGCTTTCAGTACTGTAGCTCT